TTTAAGTTATCATAATAAAAATGATAAACTATAACTTTAGTAGTTTTAAATTTGTTATTTGTAAAATCAAAATTATAATCAATGAAGGACGTAGGAGTTTTTGGAACATGTAAGCTATGTATGCAGTTTACCTCCAATATTCCTAAATTGCGATGTTTAGCTCAGGATAGGAAAGAATGGAGGTACGTGTCCAACCAGTCTTAGGACTGGCGACCTTATGATAATGATGATGTACCAAAGGCCTTAAAAGAATCTATATAGATTGAGTTTGTTTGTGTGCCCTTTGATAAGGCCGACCCTTTACAAACCCTTTACTCCATTATTTGATGTAAATATACATTGGTCATATAAATAGCTACGATAGAATCGAGAAGTTTACCGGTCTACCGTTTCTTATGTCAGATTTATGACCTTTTTTATGCTTGGGTAATACGTAGGTGCGTTTCCAAATTTTGGGAAGCATCCGCTTGAAAGCGATTGATTGAACAGTTTATGAATAGATGACTCCAGTACAGATCAGCACTTGTATGTAGGTGTAATTAAATAGTATGTTAATTAGCCTGTCTTAACAGTAATTATAATTTCACGTTAATATGATAGATTTTCTTCAATTACAAAAATGTAATTGATAGCAAAAATGCCCCTTCAAAATTATTAGTACACCATTCTACTCACAATTGGTTAGTTACACTTACATGCATCACATTTAATTTCCTAACAAAATTACATATCAAGACCCTTTTAAGATCTACATTTCTTATTATTAGACAAATAGCAAATATGTAGTTTAGATAAAAGTTTTAAATTGTTTTTACTTTTATATCTAATTGCCCAAAATAATATTTTGCATATCTTCCGTAATCTGTTGTGAATTTGGCTTAACATTTTCCTGCTTTTGAATTTCCTGACTCAAACGTGAACATGATTTCTTGTGAATAAACCAGTGTAATCTTTGGCAGTCTCTGTCACAGTACTGAACAACTTTACATTTGGAGCACTTCTTTGCAGGTTTCTCTTCACCACATGCATTACAAACAGGTACATTATCAATGAAACCTCTGTGACCATTAATTGCCGAAGTGACAATACTTAAAGCAGAAGGTGAATCTTTAGAAGCTAAGTTTGCAACCATCTGTTTAAAAATTGTGCATTCCCTATATGGAAAACTGCGAACACTTTCTCTGATAAACTGGTCCATTATATTTAAATTACCATCCTTATCTGCCTTTAGTAGTTTTTTGCAAAACAATTCTAAAATATCAGTCTTTTTTTCTTCACCTTGTTCGGATTTTTTTGACTTAATTTTTTCTAATTCTGATACTATACATCCCAAATAATGAAACTTAAAAGACATTACTTCATTAGTTTCAGCCCCACGTTTCATTTCTTTGGTACACATTAACTCTAGTACTTTCTTTATCTCCTCTAGATGGTCAATAAGTCCAACATATTTTTGTAAATTTAATGCTACTCTTATAGGATGTAGGTTTATTTGCGTAACAAATTTATGGAAACTTTCAGTTAAAAAAGTGGGAAGATATGGTTTTGTTTGTTGACCTTGCAATGTATTGTAATAGTCAATTTCATTCTTTGGTACAAAATTGTTTATAGTTGCAACGCAATTGTGATTACCTACAAAAGCTGCCATTTGAGCTGCTGTTCTACCAACACTGTTAACAGCATTGGTTTTTGCACCTGCAAGAAGTAGTAAACTACACACTTCTGCATTTCCGCTTAATCCGGCGAAATGTAAAGCTGTATATTCATGAACATGTTTACACAGGTTGACATCAGCTCCCTGTAATTATTGTAAGTAAAATATCCATCCTTGTAGTACATTTTAAGATTTTTACCTGATCAAGTAAAGCTTGAACCATTTCTTTATTTCCTTTATATGCGGCATGTTGGAGAGGTGTCATAAGATTCTCATCAAGAATATTAACGTTTTGTTTATTTACCAGAAGATTTTTTAATGAAACCACATCATTTTTCTCGATAGCTTCAAATATCTTTTTCTCATTTTCACCCAATTCATCAGTCATTTTTAAATCGAAACGATTTAAACTTATTAAATTACCAAATAAAGACGATAAAGACGACCAAGACCAAACTACAGGTTATAAGCATAAATTTTTATTCTATGTTTCTAACCTTCAAATGAGAACAACAAACTTCTGTAATGTAATATTTATAGAATATTATCTCTGTGGTTATGGACTTATAACCAGTGGCGGAGCGTATTAATTGATTATATTAATTCGGTAAAGTAGCAAAAAGGTTGAAATTAAGTGCATATTAGAATAGACTAAAATAGGTTTCAAAAGAATGAATAAACACTAAAAAATTATAAACATTAATTAAAGGTAATGCACACTTAAATACCACATTATGAATTATGACATTTTTGAAAAATCTAATACACTTTAACAAAATAAAGTGTAAAGGTAAATAATAATGATCCACTTTAAAATATTTAGGTTTGTACGAAAAGATTAGTTAGCACTTTAAAACCAAAAAATCGAAACAAAAAAAACTAGGGCAACTATAACTACCCTTAATCTACCAAAATTATATGCTTCATTAATTTCATTCGACACTGCGCTATATTCGTAACACCTCCAGATGTATCGACTAGACTTTTCAAAGTGTAAACAGTGCAAATAATTTATTTAAAAGTTGATAACATGTTAATGTTAAAACTTATCTTTTTAAAGTGTTAAGCATCAGTTGTACGTCTAGTTATTGTGAAAATAACTCAATGTTATCTTTTTAAAGAGCAATTTCTTAGGCGAACTTTTATAACTCAGAGTTCTACATATGTATAACTTTACCTTGAATAATTTTTTGTTCCTTTATATTGTTTTATATTTATTCCAAACTCTTTAATTCGAGTGATCGAGTGACGAGGCACATGTATGTATACATAATCATAAATATTATTAATTAGAGTAAGATTTATACATTTTAAATTCTGACTGATATCGATTTCTCAGTAAGGGTTAACGGTGAACTTAACAACAGCAATATCTATGTATAGAAGTAATAACGCCTTTGAATAGAATATTAAAAAGTTTGATGGCACCTTTAAGAAGTTCCAGTTGAGGAAGTCTAACTGTATGCTCCTAATATTAAAATAAAAACTCAGAATTTCACCTTTTTGGACTTCTTGTTCTCCCTTCGCCACATTCAGCGAACCCCTAACAAATATTACTAGTCCACCCCTTCAATTTATAAATGATTTCTATAAACCCCTATTCCCCCTTGTCATATCTTGTCACGCTAAGCAATAATCCTCCCTTTCATGTTTTCAAAAATTCCAAAAACGTAAAATAAATTGTCAAATAATGCTTTCGGACCTGTTTGTGATTTGATAAATGACTTTAAATGCTTTACTCGTTTACGAAAAAAAAAGATTATGAAACAGTCTCAGTTAGGACAAGCATTAAACAATATAAAATTAATAAATGTTTAATTTCATTTGTATGTTTAATTCGTAACAATTTAATAATTTGGAAAGACAGTTGACCTTGTACAAGAATTATATAATATTTTATCATTTATATTTACTATATTTCTCGTGGCATGAAGGGTAAACACAATAAGTTCGATTAATTAGTATACGAGTGTTAAGGGCGGTACTTAGATAATATTAGTCTTGTTGATAAAATTAAATAGTGTAAATTCTTCATGGCACCAAGCTAAGTGGCGACAAGTCTCCTACTGCCGACTTTTATTGTTTACCCTCAACATAACTGCAAATAACTCCTAATCTTAACTACACAGTAAACTTTCTAATGTAATATTCGTGTAGAATGTATTGGGGCTAAAATTCTAAAACCAATTGTTTCATTTACTACCTTTGTATGTGTATTTATAAAGCTTGAAAGGTAAATAGATAATTCTCTAAATGGTTTTCAAGTGCATTTTACTTTTTAATTTTAGAAGACAGTTAGGTCTTTTCTACTTTTTTTACAAACGTGTAACAATTACAACAAAGTTAGTAAAACACTTAGAGGTAAGTATCTTAAAATCTGGAGACCATTTACTGAAGGTTATCCTTGTCGTATTTCAGGTTCATATCGATCCCTATTCTTAACAATGAATGAATTTTTAAATTATTAGGTATAAGGTACTAATTCATCGACTTTAATATTAACTGTAGTTACAAGAAAATTTTTAAGTTTTATATTAATTAAAATGACGCAAACTGCATCACTACATAAAATAAAAATAGTCGCTCCCCCGCTGTCTGTCTGTCCCTACGTATGTTTAGATCTTTAAAACTACGCAACGGATTTTTAATGCGGTTTTTTTTAATAGATAGAGTGATTCAAAATGAAGGTTTATGTATATAATACATGCATAATATAGTAGAGAAAGACTGATAATTTTAGAGGTTTGTAATGTGATGTCGTAAATAAACACATTTTTTGCGCTTACATTGCAAACGCTGGCTGAACCATCTCGTAGGGTAGATCAAAATAATGTACTACAGTATTGTACACCTTAAAAAGGTGTACAAAAAAGTCCGCAATGGTATATGTCTATCTCTTAGGGATAACCCACAATAACCATTTTTTATCCTCTACTTCTTATGAGAAATATTGACTTATTTACGAAGCGATTTTAAGCAATACAGCATTAATCCTTATCCAATTAAGTACTTTTAAAAACACTGTGCATTTAATATAGATCGGTATGGCCCTTTAGAGCATGTAATTTAAATGAATATTTTCGAAGATATTACAGATTTAAAATGCCAGGCTTAGATTTGAGCGTTGTGTTTTGAAATGACCAATTATATGTCGCTCTTTCAAGAGTAACCTCTAAAGAAAACATGTTTGTACTGTCTAATGACAAAAAAGCTGTGAACATTATATATAAAGACATTCCGTAGTATATTTAGTATTAGCTTCGCACCCGTGTTAAGCCGGAGCTAATACTAGTCGCTAGTATATAATAAATAATAATATATAATATAATAGCTATATCGGGTACCCGGCAAAACCATTACGTAAATGGTTCATGTGTTCGTTTTGGCGAGCTTTTCATTAAATACCACCTCCCATCAACGTCCCGTTGAAAAAGTCATTTAAACACGAAACAATGAAATTTTAATTTTTGGTTGGCGGATTTTTAACGGGAGGGTTAAGTTGAAACCGTTGAAAGCTACAATGTTCAGGGGCGGATCTTGAATTTGTGGGGCCCTGGGCTAATACTGCTTAGGGGCCCTACCTAATTACTCAACCAATTGTAATTTTGTCAAAAAACTGTTTTCTGTAGTGATGTAGATATATATAATAAATAGGACAACAAAATATTTTATTTATTTATTAAAACATTATTTATTGCAAAATAAATTGACAGGTTATGAATGGTTATGTTATATAAATTATAAAGTAACCTTTCTGCATTTTTGTGCTGCAAATTCCTTTATTTGGTCATCGCACTGTAAGTCCTTTGTTAAATCGCAATTTATGGAAAGAACTGATAAATGATTTAGTCCATAGTTCGACATTGTTGTCCTGTATTTGTTTTCTATATACGACATCCTGGAGAAAGAGCGCTCCGCTTCACAGCTAGTGATCGGCAACGTTAACAAAATCTTTAAGATGGTATAGCAGTTGGGGAAAACATCAACAATTTTCTTTTCATAAATTACCCAAAAAAATTCACTACAAGAGGTGTAAGATCTGTCTTAGACGGCAGGAAGTAAGATTCTAACTGAATGCACTCATTCACTAATTGATTGTTGATTGATCGCAGTGTTGTCAACCTTATGATCGGATTTTTTTTAATTCTAGATAATTTTTATTATTAACAATATCTTCTATTGTTTTCAGTTCAGGTTGGGGGCCCTCTGTATCCACGGGGCCCTGGGCTGCAGCCCAAAAAGCCTTTAAGTAGATCCGCCCCTGACAATGTTCATAAACAAGTCTGAAGGTGACAAAATCATATACTAATAAGTTTTCGTTAATCAAAACCTGATATTCTAACAAACGACAGAAATTGTGACAGTTCAGCCGTACTAATGTATTCTTGATGGACATGAAAAAAAGTAAAGACAACAACTAAATCGAAATGACAAATAATTTATTAATTTATTTAGCTATTTCCTTATACTTCAAAACCAAAAAACGATGTGCTATAGTATGCAGACTGTCCCACAATTCTTTTCCACATTGCATTCAACTTTACATTTTTTCCAGCCTTAGGACTGGCAGGTAATTCCTGGCGAGTTAGAAGTTCTTTTTTGTAGTTTTTGCTTTATACAGGGTGTCCCAAGCAAGCTCGTTTCCCCAATAACTGTCTTAGGGAAAGAAATATCCTACTATTTCCACTATTAACGCAAACATGTTCTTATCAAGTTCATTGAAATCTACCACTTCCAAAAAAAAATTTTTGCAAACTGGAATAACTATTTTTTTTTTAATGGAGAACTATATTTTTTATCAGCTCATCATGTACAAAATTTTATTTTCTTTCGTCCAATATAATGATGTTACTATCTACGACTAATACTTTTTAAGAAAATTAAACTTTTTTATAATACCAATTTATATCCGGCTATCAAGTATGCCTTGGTCGGCATTCCCTTTCATCCACCTCTGTTTCCTACTAACGTCAATTCCGTGTGCTTGATAAGGTGTTAAGTAACGTTTCGTTTTGTACATTGTTAATTTCTGAACTGCCTAGCTATGCTTATAATGTCAGACATATTTTTAATATTAATTTCCTTCCATACAGACAGACTTAGGGTAGTTTCTAGGTGCATATTTCATTGTTTCGCTAGTAACAAACCACTATAGCACCTTGCGGAAAACATCGACTAGGCTGAGCATACACTCAAGATGCCATGAGAGGATTTCGCCTGCATTCCCCAAGGACCAAAACCATATCTGTCTTTTCATCTTGAGTCAAAATCATAGACTAGACTAAAAGAAGTAGATACATTTTCTTATATGCGATATTTTTCCGTCTGCGAACTTTTCTCGTCGGCGTCGCGACGATCGTTTTGGTGCCCAACCAAATGGGCGCGACATTTTTTCGCGTGACTAAATCCCCGTGACCTTTTTTTGCTTATTCGATATAGATCACTTTCAGAATCACTATTTTAATTAATACGTAGATTTTATAAACAAATTTGCGATATATACTGTTACGTCACGACTCTGAGGACTGGTTGTTTTTATCCCAGGCACGTTTAACTGGGTGTTCTACTTAATTATTGTAAAAGACACCTTTAATTTACACCAGGTCGTTGCATTTCGATGTAAAATAATAGGAGTTTTAACAATAATATCGTATTTCGAACACTAACCCTTCGATAACACTTAATCGAACCAAGTCGATATTATCCGAGAAAGGATTAAACGTTTGAAAAGACTTTATTAAAAAGAGATCAAAGAGGTACAAAACCAAACATAGAACTAACTTAACAATTACTATCTGTCCCTTATATTCATATGGGTCATTAACTACTAATGACGTGAAAATAAAACATACTTAAAGCAGGATACAAGAGACGAGTGACCATTATTGAAATAATATTGAAAATTAGACACTATTACTCTAATTACATAGTGTGACTACTTATGTCGGCAACATATAGGAAACTTTTTTTTTATTAATCTTACGAAAAAAGTTACTCTTTATAAAAAATCCTGCAGGGTCTAAAACACATAATGACGTGATCAGACTTAATAATTTGTCAGTCATATACAAGTTTTGGCACAAAATACGAAATTTGTGTATCAGTAAAGTACCTTTATTTTTAAAAATAGTAAAAATCTTCATAAACAAAAGTTGTTGAGAATTAAAAAGTGTAATAAATATGCAACCATATCTATCAATTCGTTAAAATTATGATTTTGGGTACTTTTCATACATTTGCCCGATATGATGATGCACATTAACAATAATACAGTTCTGATCCGGCGATATTGAGTTTGGAAATTTTAAACGTGTATATCTCTCCCATTTAAAATTATTATTTCAATTTTTTCTTCCATACTCAAAGTCGCCTGTGTATTGGTTTTTTGATTTTAAAACTAATATTTGCCATTCAGTGAAAGACTGACAAGCACGCAATTTACGCGGCAATTTTAATCAGAATTGTACTATTGTTAATGTGCGTGCATAAGTATTCACTCATATGGGGCAAAAGTGTAAAGAAGTATACAAAATCACAATTTTAGCAGTCGATAGATTTGGTTTCATATTTGTAACTATACATCGTTTACTTTCTGTAGTGATGTGACCTTCAGTTTGACCGGCGCAAAGTAAAAAAGAACAACACTAGGTCCGAAAAGGGAGGAGACAACTCTTAACCGGTGAGGAGCGTATAATCCGTACAGTACTGCACGGAAAAATTGACCTTTTTATTCACTACAATTGCATTGCTCAAATGTGCTGTTATTGGTACCATTTACTACTGAAAATATCAACGAGATGTTTATTTATATTTGAAGACATATTAAAGGATTTAATGTTTGTTTTCGACTCGCACTACTATACATGATTGAACAAAACTTTTGTCAGGTACTGTATGAAAAAGTATGTTTAATAAACAAGAGTCGAGAGTATAATGAACTTTTTTCTCCGTACCTACGATTTTGCCAGTGCGCATCCAATAAGACATTGGAAAGTAAATGAAGTATACTTTTTAATTCTCAATAACTTTTCTTTATAAAGCTTTCTACTATTGTCAAAAATAATGGTACAAATTTCGTATTTTGTGCGAAAACTTGTATATGACTGACAAATTACTAAGCCTGATCATGTCATTATGCGTTTTAAACCAAGATTACATAAATTTGTTTTTTGTTCTACCCTTGCTGAATATGCCTTTGCATGGTTCCCCTTTTTTAAAGAGAGTACACTCTGGAGGATAATAACGATAACTTGATGTTACAATCAGATTATCAGGTAGTGGGTTGACTAGTGATCATGGACCCCACATTAAGAAACCCCGCCGTATAGAATTAACATGTTTTTTCGAATATATTTATAGATAATTTTATTTTACTTTAAAGTGCAAAATTGTTATTGTGTCGCTGTGATAAATCCATGCAATTATCATCAATAATTACCGATGGATATTAATAATATAGTTATTTGGTTTAATGCATTTAATAACGTTGGTATATATAATATAATTGGGTGCATTTACCTACCTGTAGGTATGTAGGTATATTTACCGATTATTATTAATTGTAAACATAAATAACTGTATAAGAAAGGGTCTTATCTATATCTTCGCAATAATATATGTTAATTTAAATTGATTATGACATCCATTTCTATAAAAAAAAATTGTTTAGACTTATCCATATTTTAAAAACTATTTCTATTTCTATTTGAACCTACCTACTTGATGGAAACTAATGATATCATATAAGTAGATTAAAATTCTGAAATTTTATGCAAACATTTTGTGTTTTAGGGTGCTTAGTTTGGAGCGAACATTGTTTTTTTTCACTGACATCAAAATTTTGTTACTTCAAAAATTTGTTTTTCGCAAAATATGCCCTTAATTATAATATTAAGTAGTTCCATGTGATTCTTAAATTTTGCCCATTTAAATAACAGATAAATCACAATTTTTAATTTTCTTTATCATAAGTTCATTTTTATAATATTTTATTGCGGCTTGTTGTAGTGTATGAGACACTCTTCAAAATTGTCTAGATGATTTTATTGTAACTTCAACCGTTTTGTCTGTANAGTAATATGAGACACTCTTCAAAATTGTCTAGATGATTTTATTGTAACTTCAACCGTTTTGTCTGTATCAGTACCGAAAGCCCGATTTCTACAATAATTGACATATTTTCTTTGATATCGTAATTTCCTATAAAAATGGTCCTACAAACTTTTTCGCTAAAGTGCGTTGTTCATCAGACATATCCAATTAAAGGTATTTAAATGATAAACATTCATCAAATAATAGTTTTATTTCAAAAAAAAAAAGTACGCGATATGTCCATTACATCGAAGATTTTTTTAAGTAAAATTTGTCCCTTTTTTAATACACCGTCTGTAGAATCTAAATTTGATTCACCGTATACAGGGTCTTCAAAAATAGAAGAATAAAGGTTTCGTTTAAATGGCACCACTTTGGTAAATTTGATTCCAATCGAAAAAACGAAAAAAAAAGAGTCGTTCAGAATGTCAAAATATGGAGCTATGCAAAAAAATAGCGATCATATTCAAATGTTTTTTTGCCCGAGTCAAATTGCCCAAAAAGTTTGCAGTAGGCTCACTGTGATTAAACTATAAACTTCATCGAAAAATTTTTAAAACAAAACTTGTTTCCTTTTCTCATACAACATCGACTGTGACATCTATATCTGATTTATCATACGGTGTGTTCAAAAATAGAGAAAAGGTTTTGTTTAAATCGCAATATTATTCTGTAGCATTTAAATATTGCCGGGTTTTTTTTTTTAATCCCATGTTTTGGTATCCTACAACTTTTTTCGATTGTCATTTGAGCGAAACCTTTTTTGAAGTGAAACTTCTTTACGCACGGTAGGGTAGGTAAGCTTATTTCATGCGAGTTGCTATGTAACGAAATCATGCAACGCATTTCCCCCGCTCTCTGTCCCTATGTATGCTTAGATCTTTAAAACTACGCAACGGATTTTAATGCGCTTTTTTTTAATGGATAGAGTAATTCAAGAGGAAGGTTTATATGTATAATACATGTATAATATAGTAGAGAAACACTGATAATTTTAGTGGTTTGTAATGTGATGTCGTAAACAAACACATTTTTTTGTGCTTACATTGCAAACGCTGGCTGAACCCTACGAGATAGATCAAAATAATATATACAGTATTGTACACCTTAAAAAGGTCAACAAAAATGTCCGGGATGGTATGTCTATCTCTTAGGGATACCCCGCAATAACCATTTTTTATCTTTTACTTTTTACGAGAAATAATGGCTTATTTACGATGTGATTTTAAGCAATACAGCATTAATCCTTATCCAATTAAGTACCTTTAAATACATTGTGCCTTTAATATAGATCAATATGGTCCTTTACAGTATGTAATTTAAATGAATATTTTCGAAGAATTACAGACTTAAAATGCAGGGACATAGCGGTTGCGGCGGTACCGGCCGGTTTGTATTGTCTAATGACAAAAAAGCTGTGATTGTTGTACATAAAGACATTCTATAGTATATTTACTATCAGCATTGCACCCGTGCGAAGCATAGTGTACAAACAATATCATTAAACCAATTTCTTAACCCCTATCCCGGTATGTGTGTTTGAAGAAGTTTCACTTTAGTAGCGTGTTGTATAATTACTCGTTGTATTTTTTTTTATTTTTGAACAGTCTGCCTTTGTGAATCAAATTTTGTATTAAAATATGTAGCAAGTGTTATTTGAATAAAAAATTTGCTCCCTGTATATAGGTACATTCATTTTTAATAAGTAGGTTCATATCTTCATACAACACATGTCAAGTGGATATTACGGTAGGTACCTATACCTACTTTACTAATTTTTACGATCTTATTGTTAATAATGACCGAATGATGAACTTATACACTAATTTTTGTATTATTCATAATGCTACATTCATAAACAATTCGTGATGTATGCTGAGAAATAATCAAAAATCTATTACGATTCCTAATGTCCTCGATCTTGGTTAATAACGCATGCATTTAAAATAATGCAAAATCACACATGGAAGCTCGTAAAATCACAATTAGAATAACGAGTCTCAGTTGGCTTAGGTAGCTAATTATTTGCGGAGACGATAGACGATCACCCGCAGAGTTGTGTATCGGCTTTCAGCCCTCGCATGACGTCAACAACAACGCAGACAACAATTTCATTATTACGTATTTTGGCGACGCCGGCATTCGAAACACGCTCATAAACACCTAATTATCTTAAAAGTTTTCCTCGCAAACAACGTTCGACACTTGAAGCGATCAACAACCAATAAAACGGCTTGCAACCACGCGAATCAGAGGCGAAATTTCGTAGCGGCCAATAACAATCGCGCTCACTGTGCGAGGGGTGTGTTAAGATAGGTTAAGGACAACTAAACACCCCACAACCTAACACTTCAGTTTGGTTTGATCTTTCGGTTCGTTTTTACACACGTGATTTTTCTTTCTTTGTTGTTTGACCGTTTGTTTATTATTAACTGTTAAAATGTTGTTTGGTGGCGTAAATCAAGGAGACAACTTTTGCAAAGGTATTTAATTATGATTTCTGTTGTATTTCAATTTTACTTTTTTGTTTTGAATTGTTCTTCAGTTTTGAAACTTATTATTATTATAAGTATGTAATTGTAACTATGATTTCTATAATTATAATTGTTGTTATGATGCGATCTCTTCGGTGAATCATTTTTATAAAAAAGATAGTAAATAATAAAAAAATATTTGGTACTGAGTGAGTGATTTTAAATATACAGTATTTCAATTTTATCGTTTTGTTTCGGATTGTTCTTCTCTATATGGCTAGTGTGAGAAAAGTTAGTTCCCAATATGACTAACAATTGTTACACATCTGCAAAATCTATATATCTAGTAAAGCAAATAAATATTAGTAATGAAAACAATAACCGCTATTATTAAAGGCGCGATTTTTAATTAGAAATGGTTAAATTTTCAAACTTTTTCAAACCATGTTTTGTATAGGTATGTCTCCTACAATTTTTTAACTTTTACCAACATTTAAACAATTAAAACCTTATTTTGTTGACTTGCTTTTTATATTGACGTAACTGTTTTGTTTACCAGGCTATTCTCAAGAAAAATGCAAGATTGTTCTTCAAAACAAAGACCTCTGGACAAAATTCCACCAGCATGAAACAGAAATGATCATTACGAAGTCAGGAAGGTTAGTGTTGCATTTTGTTTTTACATAATTGTTGTATTTATCATATTGACTTATCAACTTATATTTCTTTAAAGGAAATATTAGAAGTTCATTTAATTTTTATATTTTTTTAATTTAATTTTGTTATTGTCTTGGTCAATACAGACTTCTATGTATTGAGTAAACAATATCTAATTAATTCAAACCGTTTTTAATATTCTTAATTGTAACTAACTCGTACGGGGAGGTACAAAAAGTATGAAATCTGCTTATTGTAACCAAAGTATGAGTCCATTCGAAAAATGTTCTCAATTCAAAATATAAGATCGTTTATAAGTTCTAAATTTAATTTACTATGATACAGAAAGATTCGTTTAAATAGTAGCACAGTTGAATATGGGTCTAACCAAAAAAAGTTGTTCAGAATATGGAGCTGTTTTTGAAAAAAAAAAAATTAAATATTGCTGCGATTTTTGGTAAATTAAATTAATATGCTACAAGCAATCTTGTATTTTAATGGGGAACAATTTTGTTAAAAAAAAATTCGAATTAACATATAGTTACGATCATAATTAGCACATGGTGTACTTCTGGTCACCCTGTATACCTATCTACAAAGGTTTTGTATGCGGGTGGTTTCAGAAAACATTACAAACCGCAATGATATAAATTAATCTACATAAATAAATATAAACGATACATAATTTATTATTTGAGAATAGTAATCCTCCAGTAAACAGTCTAATTTCCGTAAATATCATTATAAAAAATTAAATTTGTGATTATTTTGACGGTTACTAACTCGATAAAACTGCATTTATCGCTTTTTTCATAGATTTTGACGCTCTTTCCGATCATATACAATGAATTTGAATACGCTAATGTTTTCGAGTTTTTTTACATTCCTGGATTATTGTCAATATAATTCAAAAATGACCTGTATGGGGTGCGACCCTTCACTCGGACAATTTCTCGGTGTGAGTTTAACTCAAAAAATTCCTGCTAATTAGTATTTAGGCTTGTCTACATACATATTATATTCGCCATTTAAGAAGTGTTCTCTTCAGTCCCTGATGTAACCGAAAAGTACCTACTTCGGACACTTATAAGTTGTTTTCACGTTGCGGTTTGAGCACCCATGGTGTATTAATCAGGGAATTCTGTAAGTAAGGTTGCCAACTGTCCTGCATTAAAGGTGTGTATTCCTGTTACTGTATCCTGTTAACACCCTCTGAAGGATACCAAATGCCCTGAACGTGAACTTTACCATATTAGGGTAACCATCAGCCTCAAGCAATTACAATTGGACGCCCATATTGAGTTTATATTTTATGAATAGAAATAGACTGTGTCCTACATTTTTTTTTCTTCCTTGTCCTGAAAATGTAAACGAAACAATGGGCAGCCCTATACTTTACACATAGTATTAATAATAATGAATTCTTGTTTTTTACACGTTCTATTTATAAATTTTGAATTCCTAAGTAGTTATTGAATAATAGCAAACAGGAATTCTTTTGGTTACTAAGCCTCATACTTGCCTGATTAATCCATAATTTCCATATTCCCCATTAATTTTTTTTGTCGAAATGGTGATTACAAATCGTCCTCTTTTTATAAGCTGCGATATCTCGATACAGCAGTATGAAAATTTCGATAACATTACTTTTATTGTCTAATAAGCTGCGTCAGTTGTGCTGTCTTGTGACTTTTCTCATACTTTTCTGTATTTATTGATCTTACCGAATAGTTTTTCGTTTTTTGTTTAATAATTCTACTATATAGATATACAAATATCTTAACGTCATTCGAACTGTAGGTTCAGTAGTATAGTATATTGAAACCCTGACAACAAGCCCTTTCAATTGATGTGTACAGTTTGCGAAACTTGACCTCCCAAAAATAACCCCATGTTCAAAATTAATTTATTTACATTATGAATTCGTGTTTCGGTCACAGAAATTCATGTGTACTAAATTTCAGCTTAATCGTTCCAGTAGATTTGGAGCAAATTGACGGTGACAGACGGACAAACACACGAGTGGTCCTATAATAAGGGTGAATGTTTTACAGTCCATATTTTTCGACATATTACAATTTCCTTAAACGTTAGATTTTGTTTAAATAATAGTAAAATTTATTAGCAGTGGTAAATTCGGCATATCACAAGAAGAACGTATAGAAGAATTCATTAACTCCAAATCTACGCAAATTCGTTCGGAAAAATTGCTTTTATATTTATATTGGAGAGAACACTTACCTTCTACATATTGCTTTAAGTATTAGTTATTAAAATAATTTTTTCAAAATATTTCGACCTAATTTACCACTGCAATTAATTAACCCATTAAATCGGCCGAAATTTATCACCTGATACCTCTAAAATGTAGGTATAGTTTCAGGCTATGTTGAATACATAAATTATAGAAAATTATTGTTTCATTATGCAATAAATAAAAAAATTGCAATGGGCGCATCGCGCCAGTGAAAGTAAAATTCTCCGAACAAACATTACTGATACTGAAAGTTTGAGGGTGTTATGGATGATAATATTCGCCGCCAATTAGTAGAAAGAAATACCTACAATGCCAAAATATCATCTTAATAATTGTATAATGTTTATTTAATCGTCCTTACTTGATATTTTCGAGGGTTAATGTTCATTATTCATTACCGCTAATTAATAGGATCAAGTAATTATAGACACAGTTTCCCGTGAAATTGATGTTAATTTTTCTAACATTATTATCTATTCAATTACATAATAATTATGGTTTTAGTTCATCTTTGTTTAAATTGAACTGGTATCTTAAATTTTTTTACTCGAAGACAATTTAGCGACAGCATACAAGAAAGGTTTAGACGAATACTGTTTGGAAAAGTTTTGTTAAATATTTTTTAAAAGTTACGTTTCTAATATTTACAGAAAAAAATATTAAATGTCAAAAAAATTGTGTATTAAAAGAAATCATTTATTTAAATTATCTTTAAAAAACAAATCATCAGTATTGGTTTTTTGATTTT